GCTCTCATTTCTCACCGGAATCTGGATCCTTTTCCTTCGCCCAGCGAAGAACCTCCGTCGTTACGGCTCCTGGGCGATTGTTACCGGATGCACCGACGGCATCGGTAAGGGTTTCGCGAAAGAGCTCGCGAAACGGAAGATCAACGTGATTCTCGTCAGCAGGACCCAGGAGAAGCTCGAGGCCGTCGCGAGCGAGCTGTCGGCGAAATACAAGATCGACACGCGAATCGTCGTCGCGGATTTCACGAATCCTGGTCCAGCTCTGGCGTCGGCGTACGATCAAGTTCGCAAGCTCGTCGACGAGTTGGAAGTTGGCATTCTCGTGAACAACGCCGGAATGTCGTATCCGCACGCTCAGTACCTACACGAAGTCGACGACAAGCTTATATCGGATCTGATCAACATCAATATCGAGCCCATGGTTCGGCTGTGCAAGATCGTGATTCCGAATATGATCAAGAGGAGGCGAGGAGCCATTGTTAACATCGGATCGGGTGTGGCGACCGTCATTCCGTCGGATCCGCTCTACTCCGTCTATGCTGGAACCAAGGCGTAAGTGTCACAGCCATGAAACATAGGTACTTATCCGCTCATTACCGTCATTCCGTCGGACCCGCTCTACTCCGTCTACGCCGGCACAAAGGCGTAAGTGTCACTACGATGAAATTTAAGTCGTTTCTTCCGTCTTTATTCCCCGCTGACTGTGAGCGGAAAGGCGTAAGATAGAGCGTCTTTAGACCCAAATAAAGGGCAAGGGTAACCCCTCTTCGCATTTTCTTCTATCCCGTCACACTTCCTTCTATCCCGTGAACCCATTCTCTCGTGTTTTTTCCCTTTCCGTTGGGCGAGCAGGTTCGTCGACCAGTTCTCCCGCAGCATCAACATGGAGTATGCATCCAAGGGCATTGACGTCCAGGTCCAGGTGAGCTGCGCCACACTGCATCAAATGGAGAATATTCTATCATGAGTCCAGGAGTACAGCTGCCTAAATTCCATTAACTGAAGAATGAATCCAAGTGCAGTTGAGCCACGGTACCCGCACAGGTAACGGAGGAATGACGGAAGCACAGCTCTCTAGGTTAACAGCTCCCTAGGTGAACAGCTCCCTAGGTGAACAGCTCCCTAGGTGAACAGCTCCCTAGGTGAACAGCTCCCTAGGTGAACAGCTCCCTAGGTGAACAGCTCCCTAGGTGAACAGCTCCCTAGGTGAACAGCTCCCTAGGTGAACAGCTCCCTAGGTAAACAGCTCCCTAAGTGAGCCGCGGTACGCGGACAGGTAACGGGTGAATGATCCACACCAGTTCTGGTCCTAGCTTCAATGTGGAAAACAACCATCCCGCAATTCGTGCTGTGCGTACTCGCTGCATGGACATCCATGTATGTGCAGCAGGGGGTGTTTTTGAGAATTCTCAGGAACACCCTGGGTACTCGCAGCATGGACATCCATGTATAGCTGCGCCTGCCGCTGTCATGTCATGGCCGCGTCACCTGGGTGCCATCTTTGGTTGTTCCGATTTATCTTTGGTTATTCCGATTCACCTTTGGTTATTCCGATTCACCTTTGGTTATTCCGATGCACCTTTAGCCATCTCTGGACAATTCGTCGCTGGCTGTATCGGTGCTCGAGCACTATGAATGTTTCCGTGACTGATAGAGGGAGATGACGACAACATTGTTCTAAATCTGACAAGGGCCTCTGGCCTTGCCTGCTGCAGCCTGTCCGATCAGGCTGCTAGCAGCAGGGAAAGCTGGTCCGCTGTGATTGCACACACCGGCGGTTTTCTGATCCCTCTCGCATTAGCGATCGCATGAGCGGCACCTAGAGTGAAACTTCTTTGACCCGAGCAGTCAGACTGGGGTGCACAGTGCTTCACACCACAATTCGTTCTGGAAGCACTGTGTGGCATGTCCCCGGATTCTGTGTTCTGTGTCTCAATGTACATGTCCCTCCCCTTCCCCCCCCCTTCCTCTCTCCAACCCTCCTCCCCCCCAATTCGGTGTTGTGCCGCATCACGCACATCTCATCATCTTGTGGACCACATGCACTGCATATTTTGTCCCTCTGCCCCTTGTCGTTCATTCCCCTCATCTCAGCCTCCTTCAACCCCCCGTGCGCTGACTAGATCTGCTTTCCACATTCTCCACCTATTCGACGCATATTTCCCTCCGAATTCGGCGATCAACTCCTATGTCCATAATCCCATGCCACCAAGATGACTGAGATTCACCGTGCGCGGTTCGGCTCTTCGCTGGTCAATCTCCCTGCCTTAAATTGCTCCCGTGCAGGCCCCCCACTTCGGCACTACCAAGGTGCCTTACATCCGTCATGCCTCCCTCACCTGCCCCTCGTCTGGAACGTGTGCGGCAGGCATGAGGCCAACCGGGTGGGGCAGGAGGTGCGCCATGCCCCATTCGCCATTCTCACTGGCCACCCCTTCTGCTCGCGCGCCTCTCCTTAGTCTCTCCGTTATCCCTCCCCTTACCTGCAGGCGCCTCTCTTCGTGGCCACCAAGATGTCCAAGATCCGCCATGCGTCCCTCACCTGCCCCTCTTCCGATGTGTATGCAAAGCACGGCGCCAACTGGGTCGGGCAGGAGGTCCGGTGCACGCCCTACTGGGCGCACGGGGTCATGTGGGGGATCATCTACCGCTTCCCAGAGAACCTTTTCAACACCATCCGGTTGGGCCAGAATGTGGACATTCGCAAGCGCGCCCTGGCTAAGATCGCCCGCCAGCAGAAGCAGCAGTAGGTGGAAGGGAGCTGTGCCGGCGCCGTGTTTCTTACTAGTGTTGAGCTGGAAACTATGCCTCGATGGGGAGGGGTTGTAGAGTTGGTTTGAGTTCAGTTTTTCTCTCATGGGGCGAGAAGCGGTCACCATTGCCCAAGCACTGGTACAAGCAGCCCCATTACCTGCTAACTGGTGCATGTAAATCTCATTATACTAGTCGTTTTTGTCATAACATGGACGTAGGAGCTTCTCGAGCAAGAAGCGCTCACGCGCCCAATTTCTCAGCCTCCTGTACGTCTGGAAGCAAAGCATTGTGTATGCATGCACTCAGAGGGAAGTATGTATCAGGTACCGATGATCATAGCTAGCAACCGGTTGGTGCTCTTAGATCACAGACCAAGATCGGGCTGGGGGCTATCTAAGATAATTAGTTACTTGGGTGAAAAGTAATGGGGGAAAGGGGGCAGGGGAAAGGGGCAGGGAAGCAAAGCATTGTGTTTGCATGCACTCAGAGGGAAGTATGTATCAGGTACCGATGATTATAGCTAGCTACCGGTTCTTGCTATTTGATCACATGCCTAGATCGGGTTGCGGGCTGTCTAAGATAATTAGTTACTTGAGTGAAAAGTAATGGGGGAAAGGGGGAAGGGGGGAAGGGGCAGGGGGGGGGGGGGTGGGGGAGGGATGGTGTGAAGGGATGCTTGCTTACCAAAGAGGGGGGACAAGGTAGGAAGAGGGGGGACAAGGTAGGAAGAGGGGGGACAAGGTCGGAAGAGGGGGGACAAGGTAGGAAGAGGGGGGACAAGGTCGGAAGAGGGGGGACAAGGTAGGAAGAGGGGGGACAAGGTCGGAAGAGGGGGGACAAGGTAGGAAGAGGGGGGACAAGGTCGGAAGGGTTGTAGTAGCAGGGGTGGTGGTGGTTGCTGAAGGGAGGACGGCTCAGCGGGAGGATGGTTAGGGGGGGAGAGCCAAGGATGAAGATGATGAAGATGGCAGTCTGAGGAATGGTGGGGTTTGACGTGGAGGGGAGGGAGCCACTGACGGGGGAGGCAGCAGCATAATATTTGGCAGAGACAATCTCAGTCGCTAGAGCACGCTCTTAAAATCCACGACTACCCTAAATCGTATTGCGTTCGGTCTAAGCTATTCCTTCCATAAAAATGTATGCAGATCCGCATGGTAGTCATTACCTTGCTCAGATGGAAGAACCACCAACATTTTCCATCCGTCCGACCCCCTCGTTCTTCGCCTGGCTAACGTTAACGGTTTTCGCATGCGATTTCCTTTGTTTATATTTTGCAATCATAATAACAGCTGCCAGTCGCGACTATTCCTGCCCGACCTACCCTGGGGACGCGTCGTGCTTCTAGAGTCTCGTCTAATTTCTTGCCACGATGCACTAGACATGCGCCGAAGTGTCTAATCTCTCAGGCCTTTACCAACACCCACGGTGACTACTTCGCTACCAAGCAGTCAAGTAATAACTAAACAGCGGCGAGGTGGCGAGCGAACAGTCTTTTGACGACAAAGCGGAAGTGACGGAATGGAAGGCAGACTCGTTACGGCGTAGTGCAGCCGTTCCGTGCGAAACAGTAGTCGGAAGGACAGTGCGGACCTGCTTCGCGAATCCAGCCGGTTTTGAATTCACGACGGGTTAACGACATTCGCGAATTTAGTCTGGACCCGTTCGAAATGGCTGCACCACGCCATTAGGTTTCAGTTCGGTGGCAAAACAGGAGAAATCTAACACAACCGATCTGAACCCATCCAACTCTGTCACTAACCTCGCCTCATCCACCAATTTAACGAGGTCACTAATTTAGGTCCACTAAGAATTCTGGACCCCAGATCAGCCTTCCACTATGTCCTACGGCTGCTTACCAGTAACATGAGTAGTACAACAGAGTAGCAACATAAGCACCCCAATATTTGATTCACCCAGCAGCTAATTAGCGTTTCCATCCGAGGAAGCTTGTAAGGCAGCAGATTGTCAACCTGGACAAAGCTGAACCCACTTGACCCAATTCGCTGGATCCACACACACGCGACCCAGTTCGAAGTATTCCCCAATCCGACATTTCGCATTCTGTATCCCAATAGGCTGACCTGGCGTGCATCCGAATGCCCAACAGATTTCGCAAACAGCCTCGCCACAGAAACTTCGCATCTACCCATTGTCGCCTTCGCAACAACCCCGCGCCTCGATGTCCGTAGAATTCGAATCTCAAATTTTCGAACATAAATAACTCCCACTGATCTTCTAAACCATCGAACCAGTCATCCCCCAGCTCTCCCACTCCCACCAGCCGACATCCCGCTTTATCTCAGCTTGATCCCCAAGCTCCCGCCATCATGGCTGCTCTTTCCTCCGCCACCGCGGCTTCCGCCGCTTCCGCCTTCTTCGCGTCGAGCGCCGAGCTCGCGGCGAAGGTGAACAACGTGGAGAGCCGCGTGACGATGCGCAAGACCGTGAAGGCCGCGGACAGCCTGAGCCAGTGGTACGGGCCCGATCGCAGCCTGTTCCTGGGCCCCTTCTCCTCGCCTCCCGCGTACCTGAAAGGCGAGTTCCCCGGCGACTACGGGTGGGACACGGCGGGCCTGTCGGCGGACCCCGAGACGTTCGCGAAGAACCGCGAGCTGGAGGTGATTCACTCGCGCTGGGCGCTGCTCGGCGCGCTTGGCATCGTGTTCCCCGAGCTTCTGGCGCGCAACGGCGTGCCGCTGGGCGAGGCAGTGTGGTTCAAGGCGGGCGCGCAGATCTTCAGCGAGGGCGGGCTCAACTACCTGGGCAACCCCAGCCTCATCCACGCGCAGAGCATCCTCGCCACGCTCGCCGTCCAGGTCAGTCAGAGACAATGGTTTCGCTTTTCTAATCTCCCCATCACTGCCGTCGATCGCCGTTCAGGATCGTCCCGACGCTTGCTCTTTCTCACGCCTCAAACGCGCTCTCGGTTTCTCTTTCCCCAGTCGCTTCTTTCCTCGCTTGACGAACTGAATTTCGGATATGCGTAACGAACACATCGCAAAAAAGTGGCAATCTAAAAACCATTCGAGGTGGAGCGAGGATGCCGACTATCTGCAGAACATTCAAATACCATTCGCAGAACGTTCGCGTAGCATTTGGCAGGGTGTAAATGTAAAATGTATGTTTTGCAAAAGCTACGATTTCTAAACCCTATGATTTCAAAGCGATAAGCGTCTGTCCAATCGTAGTACACTCCTGTGTTTTTTTTGTTATGTTCGAACGTAATTGTTTATGTATGGAATATATCATGTGTGGGAAATAAAAATGATAGGGTTTGTTGCTATATTATTAGTGGGGTCATCACCTGCTGCGAGCACTGTGAATGGTTGTCGCTGCAAACTAAAAGTATCATGCTCAGTACGAGTCACTCAATTGTCAACCTCTAAGACAAGGTCAATTTAAACAAAGTCATGCATAAATAAGAGCGCAACCGGTGGTTCAGAAAAGAAACCGGTTAACGAGCCGGTACTTCGGGTCCGTGCAGCACGGAACCACATGTGCAAGGCTCAGGATGCTGTCCACGTCCACAACGGCATAGTTGTCGATGCCCAAGGTTGGCGTCAGGCGCTTGCACCCGGTGATGGGGCAAGGCTTCTGCGCCTCGGTGTAGTACTGGATGAACGCCCCGCGCTTCTCCACCTCCCCATCCTGGTAATGGAAAAGCACCAGGACACGACCATACCACGGCTCCCCCACGCCGCCGCCAGGCCTGATCGAGACGTCAGAGAAGAGGCGCTCGTGAGGGCTCGCCTTCACGAACTGGCCCTTTGAGGTCCACTCCATGCTGTCATGGGGGGGGATGGCCATGGCTGTGTGGACCTGGGTTTAGGGTAGGGGGCAATGGGGGGAGTTCAGGGAAGGCGGGTGGGTGTAGAGAGGGGGCACGAGTGTGCCTTGAATTATCGTAGATGGGAGGGCAGCGCTTGGCAAGGAGGCATGGTACCATGGCACATGATAGTCATATTGTATGATTAGACGGATTGAGCTCAGGAGGGGATAGAGGGGAGACGTGGACAGAGGGGCCACGGTAGGGTTTAGGGTGTGGAAAAAAGAGAGCCCGGTCCCACCAAATTGCTGCCATTCCATGCCATTCACTGGCCAAACCCCACCAATCCCACTGGTACCGCTCCCAAGGCCCCCTCCCCGTCCCACTTGACTCATTCCTTGCTATTCCCTGACTCTCTCTCCAAATCCTGCGAGAGCTTGCTGTTCGCGGCCCTTTCCCTCCCACTCCCACTCCCATTCTCAGTGATTCCTTCCTACCCCGTTCCCTCCAATTCCCCCCCATCCCCGTGCATTCCCTCCTATTTCCTCCCATCCCCGTCCATGGCCTCCCATTCCCTCCCATCTCTGTCCATACCCTCCCATTCCATGCCATGCCCATTTATTAAATGGGACCCTAAGAGCTGAGGTAGCCAAGTAGTCAATGCAGTCTCCCATTCCATGCCATCCCCATCCATTCCCTCCCATCCCTGGGATACCCTCCCAGGCCATGCGATCCCCGTCCATTCCCTCCCATCGCTGTTCATACCCTCCCATTCCATGCCATCCCCATCCATTCCCTCCCATCGCTGTCCATACCCTCCCATTCCATGCCTTCCCAATCCATTCCCTCCCGTCCCTGTCCATACCCTCCCATTCCATGCCATGCCCATACATTCCCTCCCATCACTGTCCATTCCGTCCCTTGACCTTCCAAGCCATACCACTCCCTCCCACTCACGGCCATCTCCTCCCTGCCATAAGGTGCCCAGTCACCCTGCCACTCCCTGCCCCGCCCTCACGTTCCATCCCAATCCCCAAACCCATGCCTCAGGGTCTAGTTAACGTACAAAGATTGTCCGCGTCTTAATCTTGGCGAGGCGAAGGCGCTCCTCCAGTTCGTGCATCGCCAGCACCCCCGCGGTCCTCATGTAATTGCGGAAGACAGGATCCCGTGTGTCCCCCGCTTCCATCTTCTTGTGGGTCTTGGTGAGGACACGCTGGTTCCTCAGGGATGCCTGTGCCGTGTATGGCATTTGGAGGATGGAAGCGGCAGTGGCGTGTTAGGCACGAGGTTGTTACGGGGTTGGCTAAGGGGTAGGTCCGTCTATACACTTGGAGAAATATGGGAATAGGGCAGCTAGGGTACCTGGAAACGCATGGAGTTCGAATCCCTCCACCCCTTTGGCCACCCATCAAACCGCTCCATACCTGCTTCATGGCCGTCTCGTACGACGCGTCGCCCCCGACCTCGCGGGTTAGCTGACGCACCACAGCGTGTTGGATGTGCTTCTTGACGATGCGCTCCCCCACATTCTTCCAGTTTGACCCGCGAGATGGCCTCTTCACTGTTGTTTTGTGTCCGTGCTCGTAGCAGTTCGATGAGTACTCCTGGGGGACGCCGCGTGCCGTGATAGAGGAGGTGACGTGGCTGACGCCATGTATCTTCACGATGTGCCACTTCGACTTCTGGTTGTCAAATGCCACCTCTAGTAAAGCCACCATCCTACTAGGGAGCGTGCACGGATGGATAGTGTGAGACGTGCAGAGGGGAAAAGGTTGCACAAACGCTTCAAAAGAGGTGACTGACACGGGGTGCGAGGAAGAGAAACTCTAAAGGGTTTAGGGTGGGGGAAGGGAACCAGGTTCTGGACAGAGGTAGAGACGAGGTAGTGGAGAAATTCCCACCCAGGGTTGAAGTGAATTTCATGAGGGAATCATCCTGGCTGGCCGTCCAACCAGGGGATGTTATATGGTGAGCTAGCACGGGAAGGGCAGACCCTGGTTGTGTGGAAGACCAGGGAGGAAGTAGGGAATTAGGGAGTGAACGGACGCACCGGATGAACAGACCCTTATTGACCTGTAGACCAGGGGAGGATAGAGGGATCAAGGGAGCGAAGGTAGGGATTAGAGTGTTAAGGGTATACCTTATTCGAAAGAAGGAACAGTGGGGGAACGACGGGACCAGAGGATGTAAGGGAGGGACCGGAACGAGTAGGGCAGACCCTGGTTACATACGTTACCTGTGGTGGACGGCGGGTCTGGGGGGATGGGCAATGTACCAAGGGAATTAGGAGTAGAGAAAGGGTTTCAGGGGGGACCATGGGGGTGAAGGAATGGAGCAGAACGGAGAAGGCAGATCCCACCTGAATGAAGGACCACGAGATTAAGGAGGGAGCAGAACGGGATGGGCAGAGTAGAAGAGTAGGAAGGGAGCAGAACGGGATGGGCAGAGTAGAAGAGTAGGAAGGGAGCAGAACGGGATGGGCAGACCCCGCCTGAATAAATGACCAGGGGATGGAAGGAGGGAGCGGTGGATGGAAGGAGGGACCAGGGGATGGAAGGATGGAGCGGGGGATGGAAGGAGGGACCAGGGGATGTAAAAGCAGGGGACCATTGTAATAGGGAAGGATCAGATGACTAGTGCACGGGGTGGGGACGATATACAGTGGAACCAAATGTCCCAGTGCGTGAGCCGACTCACTCTGTGGCGGACTCGTCCATCTTCTTGAGGCTGGAGTCGGTGTGGTACTCCGCACGTATGAACTGCTTGTACCAACTCGTTATCGCCAGGACCGCCTTGTAGATGTCGTCGCGGCCCGGAAGATACAGAATCAGCGGGAGCACCTGCATCATAGCACGGTGCTCTGATGCTGCGAAACCCGCCGTCGTAGTGAAGTACATCCACGCCCCTGGGAGCCTGAGCAGGAATGACGGCGTCACAGCCTTCAGAGCGTTGAAACGCCTGCCATGAGTGTGAGAAAGCGGGTGGGCATGGATGAGTGGTCTGGGTGGAAGAGAGCCTCCATGGCCAAGCGTGTTTGGGGCAAGAGAGAGCAACCGGGCACTACGTACTCAAGCAAGATCTTCCGCTCCTTCCTCGTCAGCTTGGCAGCCAAGCACCGCATCGCATGGAGCCAGAAGCCCTGTTCAATCATGTGCATGATGTCTGGCGGAAGAGCAAGGTAGATGTTGCCCCACGAAGTGGTTGAGAACTCCCACTTCCAAAGCACACACTGCACAGCAGACACGATATGAATGCAAAGGCAGGAATGCATGGGCATGAATGCAACGACAGGAATGCAAATACAGGAATGCAGGGGCATGAATGCAAAGGCGGGAATGCAAAGACAGGAATGCAAAGGCAGGAATGCAAATGCAGGAAGGCAAAGACAGGAATGCAAAGGCAGGAATGCAAAGGCAGGAAGGCAAAGACAGGAAGGCAAAGATACAAATGCAAATGCAGGAATGCAAAGACAAGATTGCTTACACAGAAATGCAAGGGTTGGGATGCATGGGACTCGGTCAAAGGGCAGGAATGCAAGGGCATGAATGCAAAGACAGGAATGTTATGGCATGCGGGTACGGAGCTTACAGCAGCTTAGGAAACGCAGTGCATGGGCGACCTACAGGCACTTGGTGCGTGGACCACTTGGCCTTAAGAGCGGCCAGCTCCTTCTTCTTCTTGGCTCGTACTGCTCGCTGCATCTTCTTGTAGATGAGCTTCTGTCCCTTCACCGTGCGGTTGATAGTGTCCGGCTGGACCTTGTTCAGGTTGTCCCGATCCACAAGGCAGATGGAGCAGGGCCTGAAGGACTTGCACTGCATCGTGCAAGAAACCTTGCACCCCTCCGGGTGATCAGTCACATAGGCATAGAGCACCGGGTAGACCGTGTGCTCCCCCCCCGCATGATCCACCACCTGTATCCCCCCCCTGGAAACCGCAAAAGTAGCATGCAAGGATGAGAGCCGCACTGGGGATGCTGGGGGGTACAACATAGTCGTTGCATTGCTACACGACATCTCACCCGTCAAGCTGGGATGTCTCCATGAGCGGGTTTGCCACAATGTCCAGCGCATCTTGGAAGGCGGCACACTTCTGTTCGGGGAACAGGTCACCAGGAATGTTAGGCAGATTGCCTATCATCTCCGTGCCCCCCTCCGCCCACCTTGCCCACTCCGGCGTGTTTGCGAATGCCATCATCACGGGGTGGGCTGTCTGTCGGCCATTGTTGGAGAGATTGGTTTGATCGCTGAAAAGAATTATTCCCAACGCCTCTCCACGGTCCTTGATGCGTTCCTGTAGAGCATGCATTCAATGCATGAGGGATTTGGGCTAGTAGATCACCTATGGGCTACTGACGGGTGATCTCGAACGTATGCCAGGATGTGGGTGACACGTACCTGGGCCTGCAGCATGAAATCAGTGTTCATTGCCGTGCTGTAACGCCGCACGTTGCCCACCTTCCACTGGGCAGGTTTTGTCTGAAAGCCCTG